TTGGAGTTGAAGTTGCTCTGACTATAATTCTGTCAATATTACCACGATTCAGACACGAAGGAACGGTGGAAGTCGTAAGAACAACCCTTCCCGCCCTTCGACGAGCCAAGAAGTGGCTTCTGCTGCTTCGTTAGGAAGGAACTCCCTTTCAGATTCGGAGGACTGAGGCATCGAGAGACTTCCAGAACTTTCGGTGATAGAAGAGCTTTTCCAAAAGATCTATTTGCTCACACTAGAGGTCTAGAATCTTCGTCAGTATAACAGTAAGCTAGAAGCTCGTATATCTTGTCCTTCGATCCCGGTTCTGTCAAGGAAGCACCCCCTGTTGAGTTTGTGGTGCAGAGGGATCCAATTCATCGGTTTAAGGCAGTGGTTAGTTCTACCCACCCCCTTAAACGGAACCACGAGATCAAGAGCTGGCTTGGAGTGTCGAGAACTACACTCGACCTCAGACCGCAAAGGCTTCGTGCAAGGGTGCGGCAGAGCTGATGATAAATTCGCCCCACTTTGAAAATATTGACTCCTGGGTTGAATTTAAAGACAAGCTTAGGCAGAAGTTCAGGGAAACTGGTACGTCCTCTTATTTTTTTTATCGTGTACTTCATAGTCAGAAGCTACATCCTGGGCAAGTACCCTGGGATTTTTATTTAATCTTGGGAGGTATGGTGTACCTGGGAGTACGGGATTACCCTCGGGCTATTGGTGTCCCAGATGACCTCATCAGACGGGTCTTTTTGCAAGGACTCCCTCGATGGATCAGGGAAGCAGTTGTGGTGAAGGAAGAGGCAGAGCTCTGTAACCTTGCTGAGACCACCCAGAGAGTTTGGAGTCTCAGGGAGAGTGAAGGTCCTGGGGTAAGCTCTCCTCCTGCTAGATCGCTTTTCCGACCATGAACTCTTGCAGTAGCCGAGGTAGACCCTTCTCGGAAGTAGTGTCGCTACCACAAGAACCATAACTATGGTAGCTCAGAGTGTCGTGTGTTGAGTGCAAGGAAGAAGTGCTTTGCATGTGGTGAGCCAGGTCACTTTGCACGGTAGTGTCCCTTTGTATCGCGCCAGGTCGGGCGTGGCAGCGACACCGACTCTGGCGAGCAAAGACGTGCTGTCAACCACTTACTGTGAGACTAAGGTTCCTGAAAAACCTGCAGATCGCCCCATGGTTTACTTAATAATTAATGGCTTCAAGACGAAGTGTTTTGTCGGCACGGGGTCTGACGGAACCATTGTCGAGGGGATGGCTGCAGGAAAGATGGGAATAAGATATGAGAAAGAGTCTTTTAAACGAATGAAAAGAGTTTCTGGTAGGACTATTCCAGTGTATCTTGGATGGCATTTCCTTTCCTGGACAAGTTCTTTTAGGTATGGATCTCCTCAGGCGTTTTAACTTCAGGCTCGAGTGTTTTCCTGACCAGAGTAAAGAGGATTTATTGGTCTTGCAATGTCAGAAGTTCCCACTTTTGTATACTGACTCCCAGTCAATTCTTGTTGAGGTACACCACAAGCAGCCAAGGCCTCTATGTTGCTATGCCTGCTTTTGTGCCGCCTCGTAGTGGGCGCTTTGTCAAGTGTAGTGATCGTAGGGGTATGCAAGCCGCCGAGGAACTTATGGTTTCTGGTATCGAGTGTCCTTAGGTGGTACCTAGGTCTCTGCAAGAGGTTAAAGAGGGCTGCATTAAAGTCTGGGCTATAAATGAGACTGCACGCCTTGTCAAATTAAGAAATGGACACAAGTTAGCTGTAGTTGAAAATATTGTACAGGTCTTCTCATCTGAGGCTGGAAGCACATGTGTAGATAATGATAATCAAAATGAAATTGAAGTTAGTGTTTGTGATACTGTGAAAAGTGCCAATGTCAGTGATGTAGATTGTCAAAATGCCAGTGTGAGTGCCAAGGGTGCTGATTTTAATAGTGTCGTGCCAAATAAAACCAAAATCACTAACAGTAAAGTGCTGAGATAAAAAAGGCTAGCGTTCCTGGAACTTCTTTCCAGTATGCCTTAGAGGAGCAAGCTTTGGGGACTGAGCTCTTCTTGGGCGATAATGGAGAATCCGAACGGGGAGTGTAGATGATTACATCATCGGCACTCCCAGATGATTATATCATTCTGCCAGATGTGGATCTCCCACCTTGCAATGTGGTGACACAAACACCACTTGGGGTTGAGCAGTCAGGTGCAGCTACTAAATGCCCTGAAGATGAGGTTCAGCTGGGCGATGCTGAGCTTGGTGACTTGTTAAGTGAGGTTGATCTGGGCCATATGATTCTTGGGCAGCAACAACAGCTGAAGCAGGTACTAGGTAAGTATGTGGCATTATTTGATGCACAGGCGAAGTCAGGGACTGTACCTGGTATCTCCTATACTAAAACAAAAGAGGGTGAAAGTCCACGATGTGTGCGGCAGTGGCGTCTCCCAGAAGTCTCTGCCTATTTAGAGGACGTGGTGGTGCACAGCAGCTATTTTGATTACCATCTGAGGCATTTCGATGAGACTCTGTTGCTC